CGTTAATATTATTTTTATATATTATACTACTATTAATAAATATTTATATAATATAGATTTTATTATAATTAAATAATTTATTTAGCTTAAACTTTTTAAAGTGATCTAAGAGATTTATTATATTTCAATATGATAGTTAGGATTATTCAAAAAATTATATTATATTATTCTATCTCTTATATAATAGGAGATTATTATTTGAATTTATATATAGTTATCTAACATTATCATCTAATATATCAATCTACTCGTATATCAGAATGAGATCTTCTTCGAAAAAAGAGTTTTCGAATTTTCTTTTATAGGACCGAAATAATATCAATCGATAGCTTAGATTAAGAGAATTACAATAATATAATAAAAATCTTTATTAATAATAGTTTAGATCTCAGTTTATTTTATTTTTTGGGGTTTTGAAACCTTTCCCGAAATTATTTCTGAAATATAAATATACCATCAGAATTAGCTCATCAAGACACACATTTCACAATAAAAATTATCAAATTCTATAATCAAAACTTTTTAGGTGAGGCTTGGTTGTCCTCGACTGTAGAAGACAGACACCTGGGCCATATACAGTAAGATATAAGAGAGACAATTGGCCATAAGCCATGCCTCTCTATTTAGATATTCCAGTGACTGTGACAATTAACAGAAGCCCTTCTGCCAGGATAAAGACCTCAAACTTGGATTTTAGATCTCGATCCAACAGCTTCGGTAATATTCCGGCCAGAGGATATAATTGCCGTGATGGAGGATACTAGAGCAGATTGGGAGTAGATTGGTCATCTAATTTTGAGTTTTATACTTTTTACCCTGGCTTGTGGGACTACCGTGGTTGCCTGGGTGACGCGTCTAACTTGGTTATCGCATTAAATAGTAGCTACGAAAGCCAAGTAAGTAGCTTGCATTATTAAATCTTGGAAAATTATGAAAAGTCTTGAAAAACTTGAACTAACAATCTGACCTAAACGTTGGATATGTCCCCCCGGCAACCGCGAGAGAAACTCAAAGTGTATTCTCCGCTTAAAATTAACAATAGACCAAATCAATGCACTCAAATTACTGCACTCCTACCCAAAAATAATAGCACTGCAGTTCTTTAAAGACCAACAACAATGACTTCTTTTCAATCTGCACCATCCTCGTCTGACAATAGACACCCAACTCAGCCCTCGAATCTGAACAGACCCGCTAGAACGCCTCTACCGTCTGCTCCCACTACTCCTAGACGACCTCCTATAACATCTTCTCCATCAGATGCTACTGGTTCTGGACGATCACCTAGAACACCTCTCCCGTCTGCTCCGACTAGTTCTAGACGACCCTCTAGAACACCTCTCCCGTCAGCTCCCACTGTTTCCGGAGAACCCTCTGGAGCACCTCTTCCATCAGCTCCCACTATTCACGGGCAACCCCTTGGAGCACCTCTCCAACCAACTCCCGCTGTTCCTAGACGCTTCCCATATGGAAGCCCCAGATATATTCGTTGGCGAGTGCGCACCAGGAGGCTCCGAAGTTGGGGAATTGTACCCGACATCAAAGAACCCACTGCTGCAGAGGAGGCATTGAAACACCGATGCACGGAATTGAGTGGACTTCGGTGGTCGCAGAACTATATTCCGCCATAGAAGCTTGGATATATGGCCATTCATAGTGCTTGAGAAAGATTCCTGGCGTTTGGGTTATATAGCGACATTTGATCTTGAAAATGGTCATTTTTGGAAATCATGTCTTGGCAGAAGGATAATGGAGAAAAGTGCTAGATGGAGATAGAGATTGCACACATGGCTGAAAGATCTCATTAGCATTTGATGGAAACAAAGGATCTTTAGATTGGGTGATTGAATAAGTAATAGCAAGCAATATAGTTCACATTACTTCATGGCTCCTTCCTTCTTTCAAAGCCCTCTTTCTTCCACTGAACTCAATTTGTAATTATATTCTAGTCTTCATAAGCAGCACTCAAGTAAAGCATTTTTTCCCTTATAACATACTGTGATCAGTCTTCTATGTCATCTCGGATAATCAGTTCATGAACTTTTCTTTTTCAGACAGCTTTCCAAAAAAAGAAACTATGGCAATAATGTCATTTATTATGAAGGTAATTTCACCCTTGGCAACAAGAGAAGCGACATCGGACGAGACATTCTCCCAAAAATTCACTTCAATAACAAACGAGAATCGATTGAACGTGTCCTTAGGTTGTTATTATTCGGAGATTCTTGTCACAACACTTCCAACCCTTCAAATTTACCACTTACCGAATTTAAATATCAGAAGAAACATCAGCAAGCACAGTGATCAATCACAAGGTATGAATTACATCTTGTATAAATATAGTCTTGAGATAATACTGATTACATTGATAGACGTTAAATTTCCACCTTTCACAGATCCCTTTGGAGACGCATTCGCAGATCGGAGACCACAGGCCACAGACCACAAACTGAAGATCGACCACCCTCTTAAGTGAAGCTGACCGACCATGACGCATTTTAATCCCAATCTGGATCCATCATTATTTTCCAACTCATCACTCAACGCTGGAGAAATTAAAGAGGGAATTGATGCGAACAAAGATGAAGGACAGATTTTGGATAGAAACAAGAACAATGAGGCTCTAGGAAGCGCAGGGCAGGCGGAGGGCCACAGCTCGGAAGGAGAGGGCAGCGATATGGTAGATGTTGATTTGGGAGGAAACTTGGGTATTGATCTAATGGGCAACATTGGAGTTCAAAGTGATGATTTGAATATGTCTGCATCAAACCGTGATGGGGAACAATCCGAGCAGGAGTATTCTGAGCGTGTCTCCGAAGACGATGAATTTTCAATATCCGATTTTAGTGATAACGATGACACAATAAACGTCGAAAATAAATCAAACGAAGTCACAGGCATGAATACTTTTCACTCGGCAGACAGCTGGAAGTCCGATAATGCCCCTCCCGCTGACGAGCCACCACCACCTCCGTCCTACTCCCCACCTCCAACACCGATCTTGAGATTGGCCCCATTGTTTCCCCCAGGTGTCAGGATGTCATCAGCTGCTTCGTTGACATATTTCGACAACCCAATCCAACACGCCATCAGAATCAACGCAAGAAAGGTTCGGGTACACGATACGCATGTTACCATCGCTGAGCATCGACTCAAACATCTGCCAGGAATGTGGCGACTAACTTCAAGATTTCCGTCCTCTCTGCGAAGATGCTGGGTTCCCTACGATACCTTCGATGAGTATCTGGAAAACACCCTGGTCACTGTGCGCGACTATGGAGCGGAGGAAAATATCGAGACGATGGAAGAAGATGATGAAGATGATGAAGATGATGAAGATGAAGTGGTCATCGATTAATTGGAGTATTGGCAATTGTAAAGAATATTCGCTGATACAATTCATCATGTTGTACACGGTACCCATCCGAATGTTTCGTCAGCATTCGCATGTATCCAGAGGGTCGTCTTCGTAACTGTCAAATATTAGTCATATGGACCCACTTAATCTCGCTTAGCCACCATCTCCCCTTCTCCAATGATACAAGGTCTTATGAAGCTAATTTAGTCTAATAATGGTAGAAGAGTATGTGAAATGACTTTTTTTACCCAAATGAAATATTGTGCCCATAGAGTGTATGTTGTGTTGATGTTGTGATTAGGGTGAACTGCTAGTAGGAAATCTAGTCAGGAATAGGCTTGGTCGGGTCTTCACTTCCCCTGCAAACACCGAGTCCCTTCAGGGAACTGTAAGTATTACAAATAGAACCACATACTAGATATATTATTTGATTGTACATGGCTTCATATTTGACTTCAAAATGTTCACCTATATAATATACAGCAAGATGTATAAGACGGCAATACATCTCAGATGTGATACCGTCACTCTAAGGTGTATCATTTTTTTCACAGTTTCGACACCAAATGGAATGTCGTTTGAACATAACTCAAAATGAGGGAAAGAGGCCCTGTGTATACGCCGTTGTGTTCAATGAGATATTTTATCGAAGAGGCACGGAGGAATGGATGGCGATGCGTTTGTGATGCATGTAAAAGCTTATTGTCTCATAACTATACCTATCCATTATTTCTGTAGCACAACCAAATATGTATAATCACATTGTCCGTTCAAGGTTTACCTTACTTCACTTCTCAGGAATTTGAAGAGCAATTTATTTGTGATTCTCGTAAGTTCTCTAGTCTGCAACGATGGAGTGCTCTTATTAATGCACCTGCCTCGACTGGTTCAAACGGAAGATGGAAGGTACAAACTTCTGTATTATTGCGGTCGATTATGTACTTGGAAAGACGTTGAGTATTTCCTCGCCCTTGCCAATCCCTGTTATTAGATCACAATATCTGTGCTGAATATTTTATTCACACACAAACAACAGCATAGTCAATATATATCATTACTCTAAATTTTGGGAGCATTATATTGTCTTGGAGACCATCCCCTGCACTTGCTTCAGTCAAACACTTGCTTCAGTCAAAAACATGACTCGTCATCGTTACAGCCACTATCAACGTGATAGCAGAGAGACCCATATCGTTTTAGACCATCGTCCACCAAGGCTCCATTCAGGATGGTCTCAACTTATGCAGTGGAGACGTCGAAATGAGATCAGACAACGGCAATTGATTCATCAAGAGATGGCGATACGACAAGCAAGAGTTGCCATCCCTGTTGACAGAGATGAGTCGGATGAATCAGATGAGTCAGATGAATCAGATGAGCCTGAGGAATGGGAAGAAAGTACCGAGGATGATCTGAGTTCGCAATTGACACACAACACGAATGCAATGCACATTTATGGCTCGGACAATCGGGACTCACGATTGACACCCAGCAATAGCACTGTAGTAAGAATCATCATTACGTCCTCCAACATAACCAAGTCTAAGAAATGTAGGACGTAACCACAGTTTCAAATACTCCATCGCCAGAGTATACTATCGGCTGCTCTGAAAGCTCGAATCAAGTTGCGGTAATTAGTGGACAAAATATCGAAGAATCTGTCGAAAGAAAGGAGCCTTACGAAGAAGCTAGGAAGTCGGCACTGGAAGTTTCAGAGCAAGCAGCCACTCAAATTCGGGGCGGAGGAATCGCTACATTGAGGATTGGCAGAACTAACGGGAGGTCTTTTGTTTCATTTCCTATACGATTCAAGGGTGCCATGGAGTTTGTAAAATTCACCGAAAAGAGTCCCTCCAAGACTTGGATTACCCGCTTTAAGAAAATGCAAAACGCAATCAATCCTCGCCACAGAAAGGGCTACGGGCAAGGTCCAATTCCAAGAAAGCAGTCATCTTATGGTTGGATGTTCGCATCGACAAAGGCCAAATATCAAAGCTTTGGGATAGACCTTTCGTATGCAGAAGTGTCAGGAGCTGATTGGGAAGTTCAGAATCTTGCGACTGCATACTTCAAAGTGGGAAAGGTTAGAAAGTATAAACCAGGTAGCTCTAACCTACGATATTGTTTAACCTACTCCAATAAGACGTTTGATACTGGGTTTGCCATTACCCTGGACCGTGGAAAAAACAAAAAATGGTTCTCTCTTAGACGTACAGCACGCGCTGCAGCTTCATGTATTGGATTTTAGGCCGGCATTCTTGATATCTTTGATAGGCTGTCCTTCAGTATATAGCATGTTCTCGAGTTGTAGATTCGGATAGTTGTTCAATCGACCAGCGATTTACAGTTTTTTCGTTTCTCAGACTATTGATTGTGATTTCCAACTAACAGCTTCGTGAGACCTAACCCGTTGATGTTTGCCTTCCTCAACGCCGACAAACTTTCGAGCAAATTA